GCCGACCGGACGCTCTTATTCGGTTATCTTTAAATCGTTAATATCTCCTTAACTATTGCTGACACCGCAAAATGGTACAGGACTTTTCGACTCAGTGTAGTCTGTTCTACCCACGCACGAAATATTTTGCGGTCGCTACCAGACACCCTGTATAATAAAAACGAGTCTAGATACATTGCGTTATTCATTCATATACAATTTATCATGTATCAACTTTCAAAAATAATGCAAATACAATATTTAAAGTATATTTCATTAGTTGTTTTAAATTATACATATGTAAAATTAATTATGTATATAATTTAGAGAATTAATAATAAAAAATTGACAGTGAATTAATATTCGGATATTAAAATTCGAATAATACATATTTAGAGAAAATAATATTTACTTAGCATGTTTTTCTTATATAAAATATGCCATTATATTAAGTTTATAGAAATACATATTATGCATATATAATATATATATGTAATATAATTACACACGTATATGTAATATATATGAAATGCATAATTGATGCGCGCGTGCACACCCATATGCATATGTATCCAAATATTAATTCACTATCAATTTTTTATTATTAATTCTCTAAACTATTCGAATCCTAAAAATTCGAAATTAAATTATAACATATTATATTTTACAATTCGATTTCTATTATCGAAATTAATAGCTCAGAATTAATAAATTTTCAGATTTTGTTCTTCGGACATTAATATTTGAATCATTGAAACAATTCGAATGGTTTTGAGTAATAGTAATTATTTCGAATGATTTGAGTATTATAATATTTGGAAATTTATAGTCGTAATACAAACATCATATTAGATGTATAAAAAATGAATATGTAGAAAAAATTCAACTATTTGTGATGTACATGATAATTAATTAACATAATAAATAATTAATAAACGGTATGCTTATTAGAAAGTTGATATTCATTCGTCAAACGTGATTGTTCATAGTTTCTGTTGACAATTAGTTGAAACTGCTGATGCTTTTTCACATTGATTACAAAATTTATTGGAACCTCTACTGTGTCCTATTCAAAATTGAATCTGCAAATATAAACAGAAATAAATAACACATTAAAAAGTTGGAATATATAGTTGTGATTAGTACTATCAAGTTAAATTTCTCACTCAAGTTACACATTATTTTATAATCGCATCAATGCTGGAATTCTCATTATTTAAGTATTTAAAAAATCGAACGTTTAATATCGAATACTATTGGAAATAAAAAATGCTTGGCTCCAAAATTACTCCAATAGATAAACTACCTAAACAGCTATCAGGTATTAAATATTTAAGTACTAAGTATATTTTATTA